CCTTCCCCATCCCAACGTCCCTGTCACAGGGTGGCAGCCACGCTCAGGACACTCAGGGTGACACTGCAGAAGTGTTTTGCAAGAGCTCTGAGAGCTTTTAATCGATGTTTGCTGACATAATTGGCGCTCCAAGCCCTTTGTTGGAGCGAGCAAACAGATCCTAATCCTCTGCAGGGAGCCCTGAGCTGGGGCTGAACTGGTTGGACCTGCCCTGGAGGAGCTTTGGTTTGAAAGCAAAACCCGCTTTGGTTGCATGGAAACATTGCCTGCAGTGGGAGGATTTAATGACTAATCGTGGGTTTTGTTAATTGCAATTGAATGCTTTCACTTTCAGGGAGTTCATTTAATGATAGGATCAAATAATTGCAGGGAAACAGCCCTGAGTCTTGTGCTCCATGGAAATTGGGGCATGAATTGGGGGTTTTGGGGCAATTCTGTGTTGAACTCTAAAAGCAGATCCTGTGCTGTGAAATGGGAGCTGAGCAAAACCTCTGGGATTTCTGCAGAGTTTCTGATTTGGGATGATAAAAATGCTGCTACAGAGAAAACACAACTGCATGGCAGTAAAACGTGGCATTTATTGAACTGAAATCAGCAGCAATCTCAAAAAACACAGCCTGGGCTGTGTCACACTCAGATTTAGCAAGGTCTCTTTACATCATAATGTCATAATTATAAATAGATGAAATATTTTAGTTAATTTAAGGTATTTACAATTTTCAAGCTCAGTGGTGAAAAAGCTAAAATCTAGGTGGGATTTCTAAATCTACAACAGTCAGTCCCCAAAAATCTCTAAATTATTATAATTTCTTTCAGAAAACTGACATTAACACTGAAGGGCTTTGCAAACTGCAGCTCCTGGTAGTTTTTATTTTCCTTTGGTTGTGTAATATTAATATAAAATAGATATTTCTATAAAACACTGCAGTGCTTAAAGAAAAATATTTTCCTCAGCACCTGCACTGTTGGCAGTTTCCTGGAGTATGAAAAGAATCATGGCAAATAGTGCAAAGATTTGTCTCAAGGCGAGAGAAAATGCTGAAATAATTTATAAAAGAAACATTTTTTAGGTTTTATAGCTATTTTTCCTTCATCAGTGGACGAAAAGGTCTGGGAAGACCAAGCTGAGGTGTCAGTGAACCTTCCCTGTGCTGGGGTGGGGGAAGTACAGCCCATAGAGGCCCTGCTGCACCTGGTACAGGTGGGACTTTCTCCTCAGGCAGGAGAGGACCTGGTGGGAAAAAGAACAAAAATTAGTGGGGAAAGAGCAAAAATTAATAGGGAAAAAGAATAAAAATTAATGGGGAAAAGAATAAAAATTAATGGGAAAAGGAACAAAAATTAATGGGNTAGTGGGGAAAGAGCAAAAATTAATAGGGAAAAAGAATAAAAATTAATGGGGAAAAGAATAAAAATTAATGGGAAAAGGAACAAAAATTAATGGGGAAAAGAATAAAAGTTAATGGGGAAAAGAACAAAATTAACAGGGAAAAGAGCAAAAATTAATGGGGAAAAGAATAAAAATTAATGGGAAAAGGAACAAAAATTAATGGGAAAAAGAACAAAAATTAGTGGGGAAGAGAACAAAATTAATGGGGGAAAGAAAAATTTAATGGGAAAAGACTGAAAATTAATGGGATAAAGAACAAAAATCAATGGGGAAAAAGAATAAAAATTAATGGGGAAAAGAAACAAAAAATAATGGTAAAAGGGACAAAAATTAATGGTAAAAGGGACAAAAATTAATGGGAAAAAGGGACAAAAATTAATAGGGAAAAGAACAAAATTAATGGTGAAAAGAACAGAAATTAATGGGGAAAAAGAACAAAAATTAATGGGGAAAAGAACAAAATTAATGGGGGAAAGAAAAAATTAATGGGGAAAGACTGAAAATTAATGGGAAAAAGGAACAACAATTAATGGGGAAAAGACCGAAAATTAATGGGATATAAACCAAAAATTAATGGGAAACAGAACAAAAATTAATGGGATAAGGAACAAAATTAATGGGAAAAAGGACAAAAAATTATTGGGAAAGAGGACAAAAATTAATGGGGGAAAGGAACAAAAATTAATGGGGACAAGAACAAAAAATTAATGGGGGAAAAGGAACAAAAATTAATGGGAAAAAGGACAAAAAATAATGGGGAAAAAGAACAAAAATTAATGGGGGAGGACCAAAAAATTAATGGGAAAAATAGTAAAATTAATGGGGAAAAGAACAAAAATTATGGGGGAAAGAAAAAATTAATGGGGAAAGACTGAAAATTAATGGGAAAAAGGAACAACAATTAATGGGGAAAAGACCAAAAATTAATGGGATAAAAAACAAAAATTAATGGGAAACAGAACAAAAATTAATGGGATAAGGAACAAAATTAATGGGAAAAAGGACAAAAATTATTGGGAAAGAGGACAAAAATTAATGGGGAAAAGGAACAAAAATTAATGGGGACAAGAACAGAAAAATTAATGGGGAAAAGGAACAAAAATTAATGGGGAAAA